GATGTATCTAATAACTTCTTGGGCCTGGTTTCTGTGATAGGATTTTAATATATCCATGTGCCTCTATGATCATTACTCACTCCCAGTGAACTTATAGGGTGGCTCCATCCCTGCTCAGGAAGACATCATGCATTGGTCTGTGCTGGGGTGGTCACGCCTGACAGATAATGCAGTTTCTGGTCCACCTAGGAGGTGCATTCCTCCTTCTCCTTCAAAATGGAGTCAGGAAATAACATGTAAAATGGAGTCTTCTCAGGCAAGGTGTAGCCTTTTAACAAGTATGCTTATATGCATTGTGTAATAACTTATAGTAGGGTATAGTCTGAGTTAACACAGCCAGCCAGGACAGGGCCTGGCAGACACCGTTATCAAATGGCCTCGATGAACCACAGGGTGTGTCCACATAGGCCTGGTAGACAGGCAGGGCAGAGGCCTAGCACATACTGGTCCAGAGTCAGGTTGCAATGGCACCCCCTCACCCCCCAAGCCTTCTGGATGCAAACCCAGGAAGAAGCCTTTTATAGCCAGTGTCATTTAAAACAGAATAGGCTCAGAGTGAGCTGGGGATACTCTGGAGGTCAGACCTAAAGGAGGCTTGGCAGTCTGCCCCAGAGCAAGGCACAGAGCACAAAATAGATACGTTCTATACTACCAGGCCACAGCCTGGTGTGTATTCTGGAATATTCCAGACAATTCTTGGCCACAGACAGATCATGCGGGGAAGAGTGGAGTTGTGAGGACCTTGCTGTGGGATGTTGATGAAGATGGAAAAAGAATGACCTGTTTAGAGCAACTGAGATAGTTCTAAGCCTGAGGCACTGAGCCCCACACTGAGAATCTAGGAAATACAAGGCACTGCCCAGCGTGGTCCTTAAGATGAGCACTTGAGTTAAAAGGTTAGGACTGACCTTGTCTAGTCATAAGAACCTGACAGACTGCCATAGCTTGCCCTGATCCCTAAGCTTCTCCCCATGCTCTGGAACCCTACAGATTAAACAATGTCGATTTCCCAGAAAACAAACTTGACCACGGGGGTCACAGAACCCCCAGGTTAAAGCTACCCAGAGTTCCCCTTGGTTGTAGATAGAAGTAGCAGACCTCCATTTGCCCTGAGTGGCCTCTCACAGCAAATCTAGCTGCCTTCTACCTGCCTCTGATGGGAGATGTTGTTCTTTAATATGTTTCTCGTATTAGTTAATGAACTGTCCGCCAATAGGAAAGCAAGATAGGCAGGACTAGGAGACTAGGAGGAGAAAGGAAGGTGTAGGGAGGAGTCAACATGTAGAGACTTGAGAGAACAGAGATCCAGCCCCTCTCTCCCGTAAGATGAGACCACATGGAAATACTTAGATTAATAGAAATGGGTTAATATTTAAGACAGAGCTAGCCAATAAGAAATACTAGTAACAGGCCAACAGAATTATATATAATACAGCATCTCTGTGTGTTACTTGGGGCTGGTGCAGCTGAGGGACCAGACTGGAGGAAAAACATACTTTTAACAGGCCTCCACACACCCAAGTGCATGGATCCCCACTCACACCTTCGTGAGCAAACTTTGTGCTTGCCTCTGAGCAGGATTGCCAGTCTCTCTCTGTTCTTGAAGGGTGGCTACCCAAGAGTCATCTCTTGTGTGTGAACCACTGGCTTCCAGGCACTGTCTCCAGCACAGGGTAGCTTGTTGATGGCAAGAGCCTGCTGCTTACACCTGGGAGCCCCATTGCCCACACTTGAATTCTGGCTTCCCTAGCATTCATAAGGCTGATGTGCGAAGAGGGAAATTTAGGACAGCCTAAGCTACAGAGAGACTCTGAGACTATAACTCCATGTAAAAACAAAACCTGGAACTTTCTGTAAGCCTTCAGAGTTTCTCTGGATCTCCGTACCTCAGTATATTTAACTATAAGGTAGGGAAAATAAAAAAGTTTAAAGTTCATCCAATTATTGACAAGAATGAAATTGCTAGCCTAGCACAGAGAAAGAATAAAGATAATCCATGCACATAATTGCCCAATAAATATTAGCTATTTGTAATTATTCTTATTGCCATTATTATCATCCTGTCCGAATGTGCAAAGAAGAAAGCATTTAGTTCTGTGCCAGGTATGCAGGCATTGAGTAGCCATGTCCTTCTGCACTGTGGCTTAGATCACCCCATAGACTGTGAGCACTTGGGGCCTGTCTAGTCAGCTGGAACTGTCCCTCAGCTCTGTCCACCAAACACAGAGTAGAGGCACAACACACACTTGCTGTTCGTGTCAGTTCCTGGTGAACCATTAGCTCCTGGTCTATTTCTAGAAAACAAAGTGCACACTTTATTATTTGGTAGTGGCATTTGTGAACGTGGCACCAATGACTTCAGGAAGCACTTGGGCCCCCGGCAGCAGATTTCTCCAAGGCACAAGAAAATGTTTAAATACCTGACCCTGAGCCTTGGCATGTGAGTAGGGCTCCTTGCTAAACCTCTTCTCCCAATGCAGCTGTGTGGAATATAACACCTATGGGCTACAGCAGAGCCAGCAGACAATATCCACACTGGATGTCTTAGAAGCTTCTTTCCCTTCCATCAGCCAGTCCTATGAGCCAGTCCTTCATCTTGGCCTCCACAAAAACTGCCCCATCTTCCATGGGAATGCAGAAGCATGCATCTTAGCCTCTGCTTCAGTTTATCTGAGGCAGAAACAATGAGGGAGGAGGGTGTCATGTACAATGTGACTAGCTGTAGCCTGCAGTCTTTATGGAAGGCTGAACTTTTACAAGCCTCTTGGTGACCAGACCACTTATTATCCCAAGTGCAGACAGGTTTACGACCTGAAACATGCACTGTGTTGGTTGCTATGGGGTAAACAGAGGGAAGCTCCAGTCTGGCGTTTGAAGTGCTCACTTCTATGAGATGACCTGGCTGGCCCTCTCCTCTCCACTAGTGTCATGTGCTCCTTCTGTCATCAGTTGACACAGGGGAAGCGGCTTTCTTACTTCTCTCTGTCATCTAGAATACAGAGACAGACAGGCCACAAGACTCGCTCTTAAGTAACACGTGGCCAGGCGTTGGTGTCCCCCAGCACTTGGGAGGCAGAGGCAGGCAAATCTCTGCGAGTTCAAGGCCAGCCTGGTCTACAGAGTGAGTTCCAGGACAGGCTCCAAAGCAATGCAGGAAAACCCTGTCTCAAACCCTACCCCACCCTCCAAAAAAATGTGACTTCTAGAAACTCTGTTGGGCCCTTCTACCATGACCTTGTCTGCTGTTGGATCCCCACTCCACACTTTGGCTGCCCAGCCCTGCACCTGATCCTGAGGCCTGGCTCTCTTGAGGGCCATCCCACATTGGCCTCTTGGCTGGAGCCAAGGGTGTTTAGTTCCCTGGCTTTTTGGTCAAAGACATTCCAGAAAGTTCCAGGGAATAAGAGTGGCCTTTAAACCTCTTCCAGAGCCCTACTGGCTCTGCCATTAGCTTGTGGGGCCGCCCTGGAAGGCCCCCCCAGCCTCCCTCCTGTGTAGCTGTGGGGGGGGACAGCCTTGAGAGCCTGGTAGAGCTGTAAATGGTCTCCCTAAAGATCATAAAGATTATGGTGATGATACAGCTGGGTGGCAAGCCTCCATCCTCCTGAGCCCAGCTGTGGAGCCCACAGATGGCTGACTGGATAACCTTCTATGTGATCACACTCTAATACCCCAGAGCAGACTCCCACATGAATATTCTAAAGAATGTCTCGGGATATTTCTCATTATGAAGAAATTTTAAAGGAAAGAGAAAATACAGATCTTAAAAAGAAGTAAATCATCCTACCAGTGAAGGAACTTTAACATTTCCGCACATACCAATAAAATATCAATGAAAATGCTCAGTGTGGGGAAGACGCCTATATTCTTAGCACTCTAGCATTTGAGAGATGGAGATGAAAGGATCGGGAGTTCAAGATCAGCCTCAGCCAAATAATGAGTTCAAGACCAGCCTGAAACACATGTGACCCTGTCTCAAAACAAACAAAAAGTTACTTGTGAAATTGTTAGTAAGTAGCAGAGGCAACCTTTCTTCCCCTCACTCTTGACTGGAGTGTGCAGAAATCTCTTTTACCAGGAATTGTTTCTCCCATTTAAATGTTATTTGACACTGTGTTCCAGCATTATAGCTCATAGCTTGATATTGTGCATTAAGAATTTGCACAGCCATCCTTCTTAGTTATATTATTAGCTAAGCAAATATCCCTGATGGTTCCTAGGCCAAATGTGAGACTACCAGTTTCACTCAGGTGGCTGTTGATGTGCACAGTGGTACCCCGTGCCCCCAGGATGCTACTGCACTGTGTGGTTAGTAGGGAAGGACTTAGGCTTGTAATCCCAGGTGCTTCCTAAATCAGCAGTCTAAGAACATGACAACTGATGACAAGTGGGACTTGTGTCTGCTACAACTGTGCCCTTATGCAGGACTGGTCTGGGAATGTGTAAATGTGGGTAAAACTGACCTCAGCTACCTGGCTTCACCACCGCACATGACCACATAAGATGACTGCCACTCTATCCTCACCTGCAGGTTGACAGCAGTGGCCCTGTCCCCTGCCCTGTGTTGCCTCTCACCAGTGACTCTAGACCCACCCAGAGCCTAAGAGGCACACACTCCTGTGTAGAGTGTGGGGCTGAATTCTAAGTGGGATTGCTCTGAATCAGCCCAGGTTGTGGCCAGAGCCCCAGGCCCTGGGGTCTGAAATCTGTTCTAAGGGTGGAGACAGCACTCAGAGACAAGGGGCAATCTTTAGCCACCTCTGCACCTGTAAGCTGGATCATTCAGAATGACCCCAAAATAAAGAAACATCAAACTTATTTCACTTGAAAAATCAGCCAAAGAGAGTGTGTCGACCCTGAATGGTGGTGGAGCCTGACTCGGGTATGCATTGCACTATGATCCTATCTACGCCTCAGATCTACCATTGTGGGGGGGGGAGGAGTGGATGGGACAACCCAGGCATTCCACCTGTCACTGACTACCCTCTCTTCACCCACAGTCAGATGGCTCCATCCTGGCAATTGCCCTGCTGATCCTCTTCCTGCTGCTGGCTCTGGCACTGCTCTGGTGGTTCTGGCCCCTCTGCTGCACAGTGGTAAGTGGGCCAGCACAATAGGCCAGGGTTGCATGAAGACCCCAGGCACATCAGTGTGTTTTGGAGGGGGTACTAGGAACTGTCACAGTAAGAGATAAATCTTGGATTTTTTATACAAAAACATAAACCAGGCTTGGGGGAGGGAGGGAGAGAGGGAAAGGGAACTGGGATCGACATGTAAAATTTAAAAAAAAAAATAAATAATTAAGAAAAAATAAATAAACCAGGCTTGGTCACTTGAACCTAAGAGCATACAAAGTCAGCATGAGCTGGGGGCAAGACCACTGATGGCAAAGCCTTTGGGTATAGCCATGTAGAAGGCAAAGCCTTTGGGTATAGCCATGTAGAAGGCAAAGATTAAAGTACATGTTTTTGGGATTTGAGAAATGCACAGACAGTGCTGGATGTTATCATTATCCAAAAGCAATTTGCTGGAGTTGGGATTCATTGATAAATTGTATGATGTTGGGTTTATATCTGTGGGAAGTGTTTCCCAAAATAAACTTTTCATAACAAGAAGCAGCAGCAGCGTCCAAGGCAGGGTTGTTTTGCAATTTTCAAAATAATTTTAAATTAATTTATCTGGTTTTTAAGCCCCTGTTGCCTGGGAAGGAAGAAGCATGTCTTATTCATGTGCTCTCATTCTGTAAATTTGAGGGTTCCTGTGTGAGGAAAGATCCTGGAGACAGACAACCTCTCCTATTTGTGATGTTCTTGACTGCTCCACCCTTATTGCTGACCCTTGACCTGCACCCTAGTGTTTGAAGTACCCTCCAAACTCTGTGTTGGCCTGACTTCAGGGATCCTGACTGGGGCTGGGTGAAGTCATGTGTTTCCGGAATGGGAGTGTGGTGTGCAGGAAAGAGGGCCTCCCCACAGAGACCCATTCAGAGGATTCTGGGAAGTTCCTCCACCCTGAGAGACTGACTGCACCCCATAGTCCTCTAACTAACAGAAGGTGTCTTTGTGAGCCATGGTCCCCAAACCTCCCTCCGTCATTCTGTCTGCCCCTCCTCCAAGTGTGGGAAATGTCACTTGACCCAGTAGCTGAGCTGCATGTCCATGTTAAGGAAACCGCTAGAGCCATGTAGGCACTTACAAAGTGTGTGCACATGAGGCCTCTCCCTCCCAACCACAGCACTCTCTCCAGGACCTTTTAATCACTGCTTATCCAAGATAGGGACATAAAGTGGGACCAGACATCAGGCCCTTACATTCTCTTTCTGAAAACACAGATAATGCACCCACCCATATCTGACCTCCATCCCTGCTGGCCAGTGTCCTGTGAATTTACTGCCCCAGCCCCTGCTCAATTTTGCCTGTACTGTGTGCCTTTTTCTCCAGGTTACCTCCAACCCTCCTCTCCACATCTCAAACCCAGACTGTCACTAAATTCAATGGCTGACTATTTCATGTGATCAGCCGTCCTCGGTGCAGCTGCAAGTGCAGGCCAGGCCCTATTACAGGGAACCACTGGCATCACATTTACAGGCATCTTGTTCAAAATGTCCAAACTAAACTCATCACATGATCTTTGGACCTGCTTGTCCCCAGTGGCTGTGCCAGTGACCTCCAGCTGCCCAAAGTGAAGCCTGCACTTGCCACCTATGTCCCCCATAGGCTCATATGTCTGAACATTTGGTCTCCAGCTGATGGCATTGTTTTTGGAAAGTTGTGGATCTTTGGGGGGCGGAGCCTCACTGGAGGAGGTAGGTCATTGGGAATGGGCTCTGGTTTGCTGGCCTGGCCCATCCCGCTTCCTGCTCTCTGCTTCCAGTTAGCTGACTACATCACTGTGTGACTAGCAGCCCCATATTCCTGCTGCCATGCCTTCCGCACTATGATAGACTTCTTAAACTGTGAGCCAGAATACACACACACACACACACACGCACACACACACACACCCAAGTTAGCTCTTGTCAGGTATTTGGTCACAATAATATGAAGAGCAACTAATACAGCCTGTCTCCATAAAACACCCAGATCATCATCATAATAGCCCACCCCAAGTGGTCATGGACCCCAAGGTGGCTGGCATAGACCTTTCCTAACCCAGTCCTCCTCCAACCTCAACTCTCACATTCACCTCCCAGGTATGGAGGTAGTACAGTTCCTCATGGAACTAATGATGCCATTAAGATTTTCTTCTTTTTATTTGTCTTTGCCTATTAAGCTGTGACTATTGGAAGCTAAGCCTCTGGGTCTCCAGAGTGTAACACTTCACTCAACTAAACCTCAGAGTTCCTGCAGCATCCCAGTGGATGGAAGGCCATCTCCAGGCATACCCTATCCTAAGACTATTTGGATGTAATGTCTACCTACTGTGTTTCTATGTGTACACATGCACATGAGTATGAAGATACATGTGCATGTATGTACAGGTGCATATGGAAAGCAAAGTCAGCTTTGGATGTCATTGCCAGTAACATCATCTCTTTTGAGACAGTCTCTCATTGGCCTGGAACTTAGCAATTAGGCTAGGCTAGCTGGCCAGTGAGATCCTTCTGTCCCTGCCTTTCCAGCACTGGGATCATAAATCACACCTCATTCTTTTTTAAACATAGGCTCTGGGGATTGAACTCAAGTCCTTGTGCTCTCAAGATATGTGGTTTACAGACTGAGCCATCGTTCAACCCCTGTGTTCTTCACTATGACCATACTGTCGCCTCTTGCTGAAATTTCTTGGATTTTGTTTTTTAGATTTTCTTTTTCTGCTCTCATCAGTTCCTCTGCCTTCGAAACATAGGTCACTGATGTTCGCTCCATCACAAGCGCCCCATTTCCTGCTGCACCTCGATTTCTAGAGCAATATTCCTTCGATTCTCCTCTCATCTCTGGGCTGCATTGTTCATCCTTCTGGTGCTTGCTTACATGTACATTTCTCCCACTGTATCCAACCAGGATGAAGAGAAAAGCAGCCATGGAGAGTAACTCCAAACAGGAGAGCGGTGCCCAGTACATAATTTGCCTTTTTTCCAAACTGCATTATAAAAAGCTGACTCATCTTAGGGGAAGGATCCCACCCACAACCCAAAGGGACTGTATTGGATGATGTTTCTGTTATCATACCTTACTTGTATGTTGTTGGCAATGTTTATATATACCAAATATCATAAAACAAAGGATGCATCAGTATCCTTTGTCAGTAACTTTCCTGATACTGTAACAAAACGCTCAACAGGAAGTGGCTTCTTGGAAGGAAAGGTTTATTAGTGTTATCTTGGCTCATAGTTTGAGGACTCAGTCCATTATGGCCCCTGGCTGATGTAGCTATCACATGGCATTTCCTGTCAGGGAGCAGGGAGAGATGAATGCTAGTGTTCATCACAACTCCTTGCTTTCCCTGCTTTATTCAGCCTGAGGCCCCAGCCCATGGGCTGGTGTGGCCCACATCCATGTAGACCTTCCCTCCTCAGTTAAAATTCTTTGGAGACACACCCAGAAGTGTGTCTCCAAGTAATTCTAAGTCTACTCAAGTTGACAGAGACTACTATCACAGTGGATCAATGGTATCAGGAATCTAAGTACAGAGCTCTTTCTATATTCTTCAAGATAAACTCATGGGCTAGTGAGATGGCTCATTTAGTGAAGGTACTTAGTACAAACCCTGACTACCCAGGCTCCATCCCCAGGACCCACATGGTAGAAAGAGAGAACTGACCCCACAAGTTGTCCTCTAACCCTCTAACCTCTCCACACACCCCCCCCACACAGAGAGAGAGAGAGAGAGAGAGAGTAAGAGAGAGAGAGGAGAAAGAGATTAGTAAAAAAAAAAGAAATTCTGAAATGAGTTGCATGATGGTGGAAGTATATAAATCGCTGATCTGTGCTCATAAAAATATGGTAACAGAGAATGTTATGTCTCGTGGTACTTACCACAATTAAAGAGATAAACGATCCCTCTGTGCAATTATAGCTCTTCTGCATTTGCCCTTTAGATCAAAACAAATCATTACATTTGGACCCAGGTAAGAATAAAGATTTGGTTTGTTCATTCTCATGTTCTCTGTACAAAACCTGTCCCCCTTGGTTTCTAAGTGACCTTGTGAGCAGAAGGTCACATTTAATTCATTTTCTTGAATCTTGGGGACAGTTTCACAAATTAACCTTTTGGACATCTCTAGTGACCAATTAGAACTTGATATGCCTTAAAGTGAAACGAGAATAAAGTCTTCAGATACTATTCTCCATCCCTGTCATAGCACTGAACTGTAGAGCCAGACACCAAGGAACTGACTAGTGGTTTGTGTTTGGAACCCAGTGCAAACAGACAGTGACTCATCCAGCATTGTGGTCTCAGACAGGTGCATTCCCTGATCACTTTCGAGCCTATGCCTCCCATCTGGATCTTCTCACTCTGCTACTTAGGAAATTAGTTTTCACTAGCTTTCCCCTCTGCACCCCTGATCTCATCTGCATCTCTTCCCTCCCTTCTGCATCCCTGCTTTTCCCTGGATCCCTGTTCTCTGCATCTGTGCCCTGCCCCCCTACAGCCCTGCCCTCCCCTCTCCATCCCTGCCATCCCCTCTGCGTCTCTCTTCTCCTGCCAGCTTCCTTCCGCCTGAGCCCACCTCATTGCTTACCTTGAAATCCACCCTTCCATCTTTCTCCTGTGCCTACAGATACAGTGGAAAGAAGCTGACCCGTCAAACACTGCCAAAGCCTCATCTTCCCCTGTCAGTTGAAGGAATGGGGAAATCCTTTAACTTCAGATCCCCATGCAGAAAACCAGGAACTTGGAACTGGGCTGTTTCCCATTGGTCTCCTTACATTCCACCTCTTCTAAGTCCCTCTGGAGAGTCCCTGGTTTAGGGCTCTTAGATCGGGCTGCATTTTAAAACCATGTGAGGATTAGGTAATCAGGGACAGCTCTTGTAAACTGCATCCACTGGACAGTAACGCCCCTCTAGGTGGAAGCGGCACACCCCAAAACAGGAGGAGCTTAGGCAATAGCTTGAAAAATGCCATTGAACTAGGCTGAAGAATGCCTCTGTAGG